CAGAGCCCCGGGAGCAGCACCAGCGGCCAAAGGTGGTTTGAGCGCTGGAGGAGGGACGGGTGACCCCGGCCACAGGGGCTGTGCTCTGCCAGCACTTATTAATTGGGAGCTAATAGAGCTTAATAGGAATTCCGGGAGAAGCGGCTCTGGTTTGCAAATGAAGGAGAACATGGCCAAAAATTACCTCCCAGCTAATTTTCCCTGTTCCTGAGCGTGCCGCGTGGCGAGGTGTGGTGGTGGAACCCCGTGGAGCATCGCTGCCCACCTGCCCTGGGCCAGCTGGGCATGGCAGGGGGCTGGGAGCAGAGGGTGTGGGAATGGGGACACCAGGCCCTGTCCCTGCCCTGGGGCTGGGCTGGCAGTCACGGGTGACCGGTGTGACACTGGTCTAGGGTGGTGCCCAGCACCCGTGGCAACGGGCTCCAGCTTGTCCCAAACAGCCAGCAAGCCATGGACATGCATGGACACCTTGCCTTCTTCCTCCTCCTCAGCTTCCATGCCCCAGGTAAGCACAGGAGGCTCCCAAGGTCAGGGGCAACCTTTGCCAGACCCTGGGGGGGAAATGAGAGGAGGGGGACAGGGCACAGGCTCCTCTTGGCATTTCCCATGTTCTGGGGGCTGACCCCAGGCTGGGCAGAGGGGCCAGCAGCTGGCTTGTTCAGGAGGGGCCATGGCCAGGACATGCCCAGGACATTGCCAGAGTGTCCCGCTGGGGTATCTTGGGCGCATATCCAGACACCACTAGGCATCTATGGAGCATGAAGGGGGCATCTTTGGGGGTCTCCCCAGGGCATTGCTGAGGTACAGCTGGCAAGCTTAGGTGACACTTTCCTCTTTGCAGGGACTTTCATCAGAGCAACAGGTGAGCCCCACTGTGCCCAGCAGGCACACCCATGGCTGTGTGGGTGTCTGGGTGCAGGAGCAGGGCTCCCTAAGCACCGCTGGGAAGCCCTGGGTGGCACTGTCTGGGTGTGAGGTCAGACCCGAGGTCTCCCACTAGCTCTGCTTGGCATGCCTCGTGTGGTGGCCCTGAGCGAGGACGCAGAGCCGGGCACCTGCGTGGCCGAGGTGACCGTGTCCTGCAGCAATGCCAGCGGCAGCCCCAATGTCACCCTGCATGGTATGGAAGGCCACCCCTTCAACCCCATCGCCATCAGCATCGACCCCATGGCTGCTGCCACATTTCGGGCAGAGGTGTGTCTGGGGGTCGCAGAGTGGGGCTGCAGCCTGCTGGCACCCCACTGAGCACCACGTCCCCTCGGCAGGTGACACTGCGTGCTGATGCGGAGCTCAATGCCCGCCGGGTGAACCAGTACACCCTGACCCTGCGGGCTGCCTGTCCCGGTGAGGAGCAGGTGGAAGAGCAGCTCTTTGTTCAAGTGACAGCGGGGCAGGCGCTGCGCTGTGACAGCCCCTTTGCCAGTATGGGTAGGAGCTGGGGGCAGCGGGTGCAGGGTGGCGGGGGCT